ACGACCCGAGCCACCACCACCACCACACACACACACACACACACACACACACACACACACACACACACACACACACACACTGCCTCTCTCTCTTTCTTTCTGTCTGTCTATCTGTCCGTCTGTCTGTCTGCCTGTCTCTCACGGCACTTCCCCCACCCCAAAACACACACACACACATGACGTGCAGAGCGATTCGGAGACAGACTGGATCCTGGCGTACGAGCAGTTCCTGGCGATGACGTTCAAGGAGGCGACGCCAACGCGCGCGTCAAGCAAACTCCTTGGAAAAGTGGACTTGGTGGAGCCAGATGTGATTGGGAACAAGCGGCTGCCGAGCGCCATCACGCTGCAGGCCGTTCGTGAGCTCGACCACCACGTCAACATGCAAGCTGTGCTGCTGGACTGCAGAGAACCAGACATGCTGCAACGCGTGCTCGCACGCACAGCCACCTCCTCAGTGCCATCAGCACCTGGCGGTGCACAGGCAGCGGGGTCGCTCCAAGGCGAAGGCACGACCCAGGAGCACGACCTTGGCTGGCTGAGCGCCATGCTTGCAACGCGTCGCGACTTGATTGAGCGCATCCCTGGCAACATCCTGGGCAAACTTCTTCTGAGCAGCAGCAGCAGCGTCCACGCCACCGCCGTCATGTCCAAGTTCACGCAGTCGCTGGCAACAACACCAGAGCACGACCTGCACCGCCTCACCCTTGATCTCGTGCCGCGCCTGCACAGCCGCTCGCCCCAGGCACGCGCCGCAACACGATTTGTGCTTGCAAGTATTGCCGTCCGCGTTTCGGACCGCCTGAGAGGCGTGGAGGCTGATGCCGCGGCAACGCCCGCGAAGGTGGCGGACGTGGTGCTGGCGATCATGCAGTGGTGCCGTCGCCACGATGGCGGCAATGAGACACCACAAGAAGCAGCAACGGCGGCGGCGGAAACAGCTGTTGGGGAGGCGACGAAGAACACGAGCGAGGCGGTGCTGTGGCAGTCGTTTGTAACGGCCGCACTGCACGAAGAAGAACCCGATCTGGCGGCGGCCTACCTCGTGGGCTTGCTGCTTTACGGCTGTGACACCGATTGTGGCGCTGAAGACAACGAGGATGTGCATGCGATCAAGGACCAGACTGGAAGCGAGCACAACGTGAACGCATTGCTGCTTCAACTGTCGTTGATTGCACACGCCCGCCCGCGCGTCCTTGAATGCGTGCTGCTCCACACCCGCGGTGCAACAGCGCTCTCCTCCTCTGTGGTGATGCCGGCGCTGGAGCGCTGCCTGGCCGCAGCTGGCAGCGGCAATGGTGGCGATAATCATGGTGGTGGTGGTGGTGGTGGTGGTGGTGATGATGATGATGATGACGGATTGGCGCCAGACGCAAAGCGAGGAAAAGGGACAGACGCAGCAAAAGCAGCTGCAACACAGGGTTGTGTGCCGGATGAACGCATGGTTGCCAGCATGTGCATCGCAATCACAGCGGCAGCGGCGGGTGGTGCGGGTGCGGCATGGTACGAGGGAGCAAGGTCATTCGTGGACAATCTGTGCTCTCTTGTGCTGGAGCACATGGGCGGAAGCGTGCTTGCTGCCGTACAGCGCGTGCGTCCGTGTGAAGTGCACGCGGCTGCACTGATTCGCCTGCGCATCTTGCCTGCGGTGGTTTCCACCACGCATCTACACTTGTGGCTGCAGTCACCGGATACCGAGGTGGTGACCGCCGTGCTTGCAGACACGCCCTCGCGCGTGCTCCTGCGTGTGCTCACGAGCGCACTCACAGTGTCAGAGGCAGCCATCATTGCCGCTGCCACGCTCACTTTTCCGCACACGCAACCAGCCAAGAGCCACCGCAGTGGTGATGCTGGCGACAATGATGGTGATGGTGGCGGTGATACTGAGAATGATGGTGGTGGTGGAGGCGATGCAAACCGGGCGGAGGTGCTGCAGCAGTGGTTACGAGAACGATTGCCACTTGCACGTGCACAGAGCATTCGGCACAACCTTCAGCGGGCGGTGGATGTGCTGTCGAGCGAGCAGAACAGCCAGGCATGCACCCTGATGCGCGCTGCACTTGCAGCATGCCTGAGAACAGAGCAAATGCAGCCGGGAACGGCAGCGTCAACAGCCCCAACCACCACTCTGACAGCGGCCAGCATGTCCATGACACCATCAAGTGCTGAGGGCACCCTTCTTGGCCATGGTCGCAAACATGGCGCAAGGGTTGCTGACGAGTTTACGCAGCTGCTGTCCGGTTCCTTGTCCACAAAGGCGACGCTCACCGTGGTCACGCGCGTGCTTCGTTGCATCAACCGGGCCACGGCTGCCACCATCACGGACATCGCCGAAGCATTTGCGTCATCGTGGCAGCAACAGCAGCAGCAGCGCAAGCAGGAGCGCAACCCGCTCGGCCCACGCACTCTCGCCCATGTCCGCGGCCTCGTTGGCAGGATTACAGCAAAGGCAAAACAGGTCTGATTGAACAGTGCACTTGCGACGGCTTTGGTGGCGGCGGTGATGGTATGGGATTGGCTGGGGGTGAGTGTTTGCATTGGTTGCTGAGCTCGTTGCTTCGTTACTCACATGTTCTCTCTGTTCTCTCCGCATGCGTGTGCATTATCTGCTCAATGTTTGTGTGTTTGCGTGTTTGCGTGTTTGCGTGTTTGCGTGTTTGCGTGTTCGTGTGCAGCTGGAAATGCCCCAAGAGCAAGAAACTGCGATCCCTCTACTGCCGGCGTCCTTCCACACCGCTTATCGCCAAGTATTGGGAAGGGACAGAACTACAACACCACCAACAACAGCAACAGCAGTGGCAACGGCAGCAACGGCAGCAAGTCTCCAGCAGGCGGCACTGCATCGTGCACCCGTTGAACTGGAGCCACTCCACACCAGCGAGGACGCAGGTGACGCAGCTGAAGGCAACGCTCACCACGTGCTGACACGGCTGACGACGCAGGACGCAACCATGTCACAGCTGAGGCGGGGGTGCACGCGCGGGTTTGATGCGACGCCGCTGCTGCTGCACGCATTCCCACCCGCACCATCGCAGGATGCCGCTCAGGAACACCAGCCGCTGACAGCAGCGCAGCAGGCTGTGGTGTCGGCAGTTGGGGATGCGATTGCAGCGTGCTTAGTTGCCCACACACACGTGCGCATGTACGCACGAGTTGCATCACAGCTGCGAGCAGCCATCATGGCAGTTGTGACGCGCCATCGCGCTCACCTTCACGCCGCCGTCTGCGCGATCATCACCCGCGTGTTCGTCTCATCTGCAAAGGGTGTGTGAGTGTGAGAGAGAGTGTGTGTTTGAGTGAGAGTGTGTGTGTTTGAGTGAGTGAGTGTGTGTGTGCGTATGTGTGCATGTGTATGTGCATGTGTGTGTGTATTTGACCATGCATGTTGGCTCGATACCCTGCCAGCTCTTACCATCCTCTTGCGTGCTCCACATACCTATGTTCGCTGCTCGCTCTGGCACCTGTCGACGGTTACTGTTGCATCGCAGGTCGCGTGTTTGGGATGGAGTGGTGTGCGGACTGGCCCACCACCGCCATCGACGATGTCTTTCTCGCAACAGCTGCTGATCTCCTGCTTCGACGCGACGCCAGAGGTGTGTGTGTGTGTACATGTGTGTGTGTCTTTACATGTGTGTGTGTGTCTTTACATGTGTGTGTACATGTGTGTGTTCACGTGTCGCTCTGTGTACGTGTCGTGTCGTGTACATGTGTGTATGTTTCCTGTCCTCCTCGCCTCTCATGTCTTTTCCCCTTGGTTTTCAGGCCGACTGATGCTGTCACGGCTTTTGCATGTATGTTCGGCCGAGGATCAGCGGGCATTGCTGCGTCACGTCGCGTACCGCGTTCACTTGCATGTGAACGGTGTTGACAGCGACAGCACACGCGTCGTTGAGACGTGGGATCCAGCGCTCACCCACGATGCGCTCGCGCACCTGACGCGCGCAGAGGCCAACCGGTCCTGTCTTCCACACAACAAGGACGCGCTGGTGCTGGACATGTGCGCGGTCGCCCGCGTGTGGGCGTGGATTTGGGCCGTCAGCACAGCAGGCGACAAGAACAGCAGCGGCGACGCCGACGGCATTGGTTTGAGCACCACACCAGCCCCTGCTACAGCCATCATCACCAGCAGCAACGTTGGCATTGCTGTGGACCGTGGGCAGGAGCAGCGGCTGCTGGCGGTGTTGCGCACCCAACACGCCCTCATGCACCAAGAAAGAGGCGGTAGTGGCACGGCGGCCTGGGTCAACGGTGGTGCTCGCCCTCGCAACGCTTTGGAATGGCTGCTGCTGGATGCAGAGTCGTGTGTGCAATTTGTCCTCTTTTCCCTTGGGCTGGCACCGTCCATATCGCAGCACAAGAGCCCCGCAATGGTGAGCGGCGGTGTTGTGGAGCCGACACAACACGCTGCAGATGCCGTCATGGCGCTGGTTCGCCAGATCACGCGCTGGCGACCGGCCCTCTTTCCCGCCACTGCACAGGGCACACGCGCAAGCGCAGGGACCGACAGCAGCAGCAGCAGCGCCAGCAGCGCCAGCAACGCCAGCAACGCCAGCTGCAAGCGTGCAGCTCTGTTGGAGGCGGCGTCGGTGCACGTGTGTACGGCGCTGCTGGGCGCGTGCCGGCTGCCAGTGCTCTCGACGATGGTGGTCGCGGGTGGAGACAGCGCTGCCCGAAGCACCAACGCGAGGAATAGTCACAGCAGCAGTAGCAACGGCAACGGCAACAGCAGCAACACCGGTACCAACGGCAGTCTAGCCATGGCATACGCCCACATGCACGTGGATGGGGCAGTGCATCGGCTGGTTTCCCGGCTACTGGCGCCGCCAAAGCGCCGGAAACCAAAAGCAGGAACCATCATTGGGGGCGGTGCAGCAGCCCGAAGTCACACGAGCAGCGATCATGGCGCCAAGGACGGGCACGACGGCGGGAACGACCAGGAAGCACGCGAACAACAGCAGCAACAACAGCAGGGGCAGGGCGAGGTGTGGTGGAGGAGCTATGCGGTGGAATGTGCAGTCCACAGCGGGGATGGCGACGATGATCACGGTGTGGCAGCGGACGGGTCGAGCGGGCGCAGGCCGGCACCAATGCTGCAAACGCCATCGCAACTCGCGAGACCACGCCCCGCCATGCAGGGTCACGCGTTGCTGGCAACACCGACGGGAGGCGGTGGAGACACGGCTTCGGCCGTCCCAGCGGTGCCCGTGCAGTTTGAGGACGACCTGGTGCTCGCGCTGGATGACCTCTCCGTCTCGCACCGCCCACGGGCGCTCGCCGCGTATGGGAGCGGAGAGGTGCCGACCGGGTGCAGTGGCGATGCCGTTGTCTCAGCCGTGCTCGCTGCACAGCGGCGCTACCACGCTGCTGTCGCTGGTGGTGGTCACGGCGACGCGTGTCTGGCGGTGCCTGATCTGGTTGAGGATGACCTGGATAGCGGGGCGTGGCTGCTGCTGCTCAACCCAGACGCCAGCCAGTTGGCCAGCCTGTCCCTGCTGGCGATGGCGCACCGTGTTCCATTGGCTGTGTGCCGTTCACTGCCGCAGGTGGCAGGCATGCTGCAAGGGCTGCTGCACTTTACGGGGAGCGAGATGGTGCGACGCCGCTACCACTCGCTGTTCGTTCACGCGGCCGCTGTTGTCGCTGCTGTTGCTCGCAACACGTCGGAGGCCGACTGGCTACTGGCAGGCGCGTGTCTGAGCACGGTCATTGATCCGTTTGTGGATATTGTGATCCACCACGCGGAGAGCGATGTGGAGCAGATGACCAAGTGTGTCCTGCAGCTAGTGCAATTCTTGCTTGAGATTGCCTGCTGCCTCCCCTCCTGCACATCCACCCTCGCCAACTTTCTCCCTTCCCTCGAACAGGTACGCGTGCGTGTGTGAGATGTGTGTGCGCGCGTGTGTATGTGTTCTGTGAGGGTGTGTGTGTTCTTGTTTGTGCGACGAGTGTGTGTTCTTGTGTATCTGTGAGTGTGTTCTGTACTGTTCGTGCGGCTGCTGTTGTTGTTTACTAACAAGAGATGCACACGCGTGTGTACCGCTTGTGGCTGTGCTCTGTAGGCGGCGAGAGTGCTGCGCGACCCCGTTGTTCACCACCTCGTTCTCCAGCTGACGACAGCGGCGCCCGAAACGAAGCTCAAGCGCTACGTGCGTTGACCGTTGAGGTCCCATGCCTGGAGTGACTGTGGGTGTTCGGGTGCACACGAGCACTCTGCAGCATGTGTGCGTGTGTGTGTGAATGTGTGTCAAACACCAGTGTTTGGAAAGAATATCTTTGTTGTGTTAGCGCATGTGTATGCGCCTGTGCTTGGTTGAGCTGTTAATGGTTGCTGCGTCCGTTCATGACCTTCGTGTGTGCGCGTCCTTGCAGGTACCGCGTGTTGGGCGGATGTGGGAGCTGATGCTGTACGAGGCGCGAAGTGTTCTTCAGCCGGCGTCACCAGGGACGTGGCCCCAACCTCTCACCGCTGACGACGAAGAGAAGGCCACCACCGCCCTCCGCTCCCTGATCACCCTCTCCTCCCGGTTTCCCTCAATGCTCAGGTACGCTGTTGTGGTGTGTGTGTGTGTGTGTATGCGTTGTGTGTTTTGTGTGTGTGTGTGTGTGTGAAAATGTGTGAACATGTGTGTTGTTTGTGTTGTGTGTTGCGTGTTATTTGTGTTATTTGTGTTGTTTGTGTTGTTTGTGTTGTTTGTGTGCGTGCGCGTAATGTAATTGCGCTTGTGTGCTCTGCCATGCGCGTGTACAAGTAAGTAATGACGAGAGAGTGGTCACGTGGCCTGGCTGACAGTTGCTCTCCTTCACCCGTGCATGTTGCCATGTCGTACTTGCTCCTCCAACATTCAGGGGTCTGCATGATGTTGTTTGCGCCAGCATTGGTCGAGAAGAGGTGCACATTTCCCGTGCCGGGTATGTGCTGGCCACGCTGTGTGCCACAGATCATCCGAACCACTGTGAGGACATTGTACGCGCACACTGTCGCGTCCTCAGCTCTTCACCTTGGTGCGTACTGTGTGCGCGTGTGCGTTTATTTGTTTGTTTGTGTTTGCGTGAGTATGTGCAAGTGTTTGTGTTTGTGTGAGTTTGTGTGAGCTTGTGTGTGTGTGTGTTTTTGTGGTTATTGTTGTTTGTTTTCCCTTGACTGCCTTGCTGCGTTCGTCTTTGTCCAGGCTCTCCTGCACTGTTCCTCCCTCCCTCACTCACCCGCTCCCTCCCTCACTCACTCACTCGCACTGGAACGTGGATGCAGGTTGCCGGCTGTGCGGGCAGCGCTGCGCGCAAGCCACGTGCTGTATGCATGCGAGTGCGCTTCCAAGCGCAGCAGCGAGGCGATGGCCACGCAAAGCGTGTTGCACGCTGCTCTCACGCGCTGCAACAAAGAGGCAACCCTGGACATTGTCGTGGACGCGCCCCACCTCTGGCACATGATCGTTTGAGAGGACAGAGAATCTCTCTGTGTGTGAGTGATTGTGTGTTTGTTTGTTTGAGTTTGAGTTTGAGTTTGAGAGAGAAGAGAGAGAGAGAGAGTGTGTGTGTGTGTGTGTATGTGTGTGTGTGTGTGTGTGTGTGTGTGTGTGTGTGTGTGTGTGTGTGTGTGTGTGTGTGTGTGTGTGTGTGTGTGTGTGTGTGTGTGTGTGTGTGTGTGTGTGTGTGTGCGTGCTTCGCAGCTGCCTGTCCTGCTGTCAGCACAATTTGTGCTGATGGCTGTTGCACGACGTATACGATTCGCACCAACTGTCGTCTGACAAATCTGCGCATTAGTACCGTGGTGGATAGTTTGAAAATTTCCGTACTGAGCAAACAGTGGCTGTTGCCAAGCGCAACCGCACACACAAGAGCAAACTGAAAAATCGTCTTCCTCTTGTCTTCCTGTGCTGCCTGCCCTTATTGCTTGACATTTTCCACGACCTGATCCAACACCACTGTTCAACGCGGAGCCACCTGTCGACGACAAGCACCCCTTTCACCACCCCCACACCCAATCATGTCTGACCGCAAGGCTGTTGTGAAGAACGCTGACATGTCTGAGGACATGCAGCAGGACGCCATTGACTGTGCCACCCAGGCTCTCGAGAAGTACAACATCGAGAAGGACATTGCCGCATACATCAAGAAGGTGCGCCCTACCGGCATTGTTGTATTGTGTTGCATTGTGTGTGTTGTGTGTTGTTTGTGTTGTTTGTGGTTGTGTTGTGCTTGTTCAGGTGTGCCTACATGTGTGTGTGTGTGTGTGTGTGTTGACGTGGTGTGGAGTGGGACTGAACTTGCTTGGCCTTGCTCGTCGTCGTCGTGGTGATTGTTGCTGACTGGCATGCCGGGCTTTGAGACTCTCCGCTCGCTGTCGCACGCATCCACTTTGCTCCTCCTCCTCCTCCTCCTCCTCACTCACACACACACACGCACATACACACACACACACTCTCTCTCTCTCCCGTTTTCTTTCACTTTCATCTGAAACAGGAGTTTGACAAGAAGTACAACCCAACGTGGCACTGCATTGTTGGCCGCAACTTTGGCTCCTACGTGACACACGAGACGAAGCACTTCATCTACTTCTACCTTGGCCAGGTTGCCATCCTCCTCTTCAAGTCTGGTTGAGCAATCGCCATTCTTCACGTTGTCATGTACTAGCAACCACCGTCTATAAGCTGAATATACCTTTGTTGTGGTGTGCATGTGTTTCGTTGTTTGTTACGCTGGTCCGAACATACACTGCTGTTTTGTGTGCGTGCTCGTGCCAGCCTGCCGTCGTACCGTAAGCGCTCTTGCGCCAATTGCTCTGCGTGTTCTTCGCTGCACCACGCCCCAACTCCATCAACAGTGTGTGGCTTGTCGTTGTGCGACATGTTGTCGAGTCGGATGACACCAACATACTCCTTGTGCGTCGTCTCTGTTGTCTCCTTGGCACAGTTGGGGCCTGTTGTTGTCGTCCTTCCCCGCTTGCTGACTGGTATCCTCTTCTCCGCTCTCTCTTGATTGTTGTTGTTGTTGATAATGAAAGGGCGGTGTTGCCTGGTCTGGTCGTGTGCTGCACCTGTGTATCAGAAAAGAAACCAAAGAAGCAAAGCAAGCGATTCAGCAAAACGTGAACCAATATCCATTCACACGCACATCGGAGAAGGAAGGCGCAAACATGACGGAAGGCACAATTGCAGAGGACGAGGTCCAGTGCTTGCAAGGTCAGTCAGTGTGTGTGTGTGTGTGTGTGTGTGTGTGTGTGTGTGTGTGTGTGTGTGTGTGTGTGTGTGTGTGTGTGTGTGTGTGTGTGTGTGGTGTGTGTGTGGTGTGTGCATGTGTGTGTGTGTGTGTGGCTGCCTGTGTACGTCATGTCATGTCTTCTTGTGGTGCCTCCTCTGTGTTCGTGTTTGCTTCTCACAGCGAATCTTGTCAATACACACACAATGTACACAACGCAGCTTGCGCGCGTGTCTGTGACCGTGGACAAGTGCCCGCCAACACACGAGTTTGAGATGAAACCGCGGCGGGCGATTGGAAAGCCGGCGATGGCGACCATCAAGGAGGGCGACACGGGCGACGAAGAGAAACAGGACGAGCTCGCGTTCCAGATGGACGCTGATGACGACGACGACGACGGGCTCTCACTGCTGGACAGGCAGCTCGGGGCAGGCATGGACAGCACGCCCGACGCTGGCAATCGCAGTGACGACGCTGACCACGGCGATGATGAAGCGCCGGGTGCGGCGGACGCAGACGAGAACAACAAGGGCGACAAGACAGACAATGGGGATCAGCACACAGCATCTGCACAAGCAAATGCATCTGATGCTGGTGACGGTGACAATGCACTTGCAGGCAGCAACAAGGCACAAGCAGAGACAACACCATCAGCATCCTCACCGCTCTCATCAAACACGACCACAACAGCTCATGATGCTGCTGATGCTGCCGATGCTGATTCGAACAACGACAGTCACGGACGCGACGGGCCACCACCCAAGGTGGCGAAACGAGCAGACTCACCCAACGCGACGCAGCAGCAATAGCACGCAAGCTCAAGTTGTGTGTGTGTGTGTGTGTGTGTGTGTGTGTGTGTGTGTGTGTTTCTGTGTGTGTGTGTGTGTTTCTGTGTCTGTGTATCGTCTACCTGTCCGTCTGTCCGTCTGTCCGTCTGTATCTGCCTGTTTGCACACGTGTTCGCTAGTAGGAAAGGAGTAGTAGTAAACAAAACATTTAATCGCTGGCATGTGTGTGCTCAAACGAGACAAATCACACCAGACATGAACAGATGTGCCAACGGGCGGTGTCTTGAAGGGTAGGTAACAAAGAGGAGACCGATGTAGCGTGTGATCAAACACGAATAACGAACAGAACAAGGATGCCAGACGTCCAGTCATACATGAGCAGAAGCACTGTGTGATTTCTCCGTAACAAGGGCAACAAGCATGAGGGGAAAAACGAAAAGAGGGTTACATCACACAACAGCACATGATGCTGCAGACGTGGAGCTGTGGTGGTGGACGAAAGGACGATGAAGTGTGGCGCTGTAGCTTCGTTGGATCAGGCGCGATCAATGTAGAAGGTCATGCCGAACCCGCCGCCTGCAATCAGTGAACGTGTGGGCAAGCGAGCAGCCGTCACACAGGCACGTGGTGAGATGCGCGGAGAAAAGCACAAGCCGACGATGGCAGTGTCCACGCGTGCAAAGCATTCATAGAACGAGAAGGGGGAGAGCGAAAGACAGAGAGGGGAGACAGAGAGAGGAGGCATGCAGACACACAGACACACAGACACACACACAGACACACACACACACGCGGTGCGTGCACAGAAACGCCCATTTCACAAACGTGAGCATGGCGGGATTGTGACGTACCTCGCTCGTGGGCGCGGTACATGACAGTGTACTCT